CCAAAATGGCCGACCCAATTTTTACATAGGAAGGTATAGGAAAAATCTTAAAAAATCTTCTTCTCAAGAACCACTGGGCCAGGAAAGATGAAACTCATGTGGAATCATCCTCAGGTAGTGTAGATTCAAGTTTGTTCAAATCATGACCCCCGGGACTAGGGTGGGGCCAAAATGGCCGACCCAAGTTTTACATAGGGATATATAGGGATACCTTTTAAATCTTTTTTTCAAGTACTTCAATGCCATGATTAGTGATATTTATATGGAATCATCCTCAGGTAGTGTAGATTCAAGTTTGTTCAAATCATGAACCTCTGGGGGGTGGTTAAAATTCAAGCCCCCCCCACCTCAGTAAACTTTCAGTTCTGATATGTGCTTTTTCCTAGCCGATGTGCTCAGGTGAGCGCTGTGGCCCCTGGGCCTCTTGTTTATATAAAAACGTCGGCATTAAGCGAGGAATGGCTACAAATTGAGATCTATAGTCAGCTCTTAGTCTCAGCCATAGAGAAGCTGGGATACTTTATCATGTCAATGCCTAAAGTGACAAGGAACCCCATCGTCTCAAGCCACGACAATAACAATTGCAATATTGGATAAATAATGCCAACTCCAGTGATTGGTTTTTGGGAGTTGAACTATGTTCAATCTTCCATGGTCGTCACGCGATTTATGGGGCAGTAATTTTACAATGAATTATATAGCGGTCGTCGTGGTGCTTCTGTTTCGACCAATTTACTCCCCTGTGATATTCAATATGAACTCGCACCAGTCTATATAAACTCGCAGAAACGTCCGCAATAAAAATAGTCCATCTCATTTTTTGATTTTATCTAATTTTCATGAATGATTTGAAAGTAAATTAAATTGAATTTTATTTAACTTTTTTTGAATAGCATATTTTTGTCATATCTCCGAGAAATGACTCATAGATTTGATTTCCGGATGAAAAAATAGTCCCAGTTTTCTGTCATTTATCAATCGACAATCCTCGGCTGACTCCACTACGCCCCAGCTGTTAAGAGTTTATTCTGAATAGTAAACTTTTTGAGTTAAATTCATTCTCTCCTTTATATACCAAGTGGTTTTTATGGTCATGTCATTTAGGAAAATCTTTGGAAAGGGTCAGAATTATTTTGTCTGCTGTCAGAATAAGAAGCTGTGAAATATATGTAATGTCACAAGGAACGCTAAGGTTTTACACAACGTCTTTCAATTTGTTTCAGCAATGAAGAGACAGTACAACGTTTCGTTTACAAATACTACAGAAAAAAAATCACTGTCAGACATTTATTTGTATATTTGTTCTGACAAGTAAAATGATCTGTTAGACTGGAAAAAGTTTTGTCAGACCAGATACATGCAACTCATTTTTTTACGTTGGTAAAGGGAAAAAATAGCATTTATATGCTATTAAAGTTTTTTGATATTCGATATCACGATTTCAAATGACATTAATTTTTAATTTCACGAATTTATCAGCATTTAGTTGGTCACGTGTTCAACACTGGAACTAAACTTGAAAAATGTGCGTGGCTTTAATTAATAATTAATCAAACAATTAAAATGAATGAATAAATGTGTATGCAGACACAATGGTACAATAATCCCAATGATCAATGTGTGAAAACATATCGTTCCTCATGTTTTTTTCTTGTGGTAGCTCGTTAAACTATGTCTGATTTTTTATTACATTTGAATCAAAGCAAAATCACAAAAATTAAGTGTCACTCGCGTGGCGCAGTTGTTAAAATACTGAGTAGCTTGCTCTAGAGATTCAAAGTAAGGTGTTGATCCTTGCGTCGCACGTTCGAATCCTGCGGGATGCATTTGGAGATGAACCATTGATGAGACCATTGTAAACCGAAATCCCATTTCGCAGTAGGTGCTGGCACAAAACGATCCCTCACTGCTCAATGGTTTTGAATGCCGTATAGCTAAACATTTGTAGACCTATATGTGTAGCTAGCTCCATCGGCAAGTGGTAATGTCACAATATGAGTGAAAAATTATCGAACGTAAAACAAACAAAATGTAAAATATTCCGACATACTTACTTCTATATAGAAATTACTTGAAATGGAATTTAAATTATTGAATATAAAGATAGATACATTTGAAAGAAAAGATAAGCACAGAATTCTATAAAAATTGATTATTGTGTCCGAAAAGAACCATTCATACCCAAAACAGAAAAGCAAATGCTTGTTTTAATCAGAGAAAGGAAAATGACAATCTAGTGTCTGTTGATGGTAACGTCGAATATAAAGAGTGTTTGTTTGTTTGTTGGGACCAAATATCTTCAAAAAAGAGTAGGGGCGTTTGAATGAAATGCTTCATAAGTAGAAGGGCATTATTTGAGTAATAAATGGTACTGAAAGAAGTTTGAATCCTACCCACAAAATACCGGTAGTATTTTCGAGCTTGGAAAATTTTGATTTTTTTTATTTGGTGGTGGGGATTGATTGTTTGGTTTAGTTGTCAGGTTTTTATCAAGTAAGTTGAATTGTTTTTCTCTGACACCCCCCCCCCCCCTACACACACTTTCAAAATCGGTGCTAAGTAAATTGAACTTATTTCTAATGCCTGGTGTTGTTTATCTTTCGAATCGGCACTAATTGACCTGTATCTAAAAGTAGCTGCAGAACTGTAGCTCTCCGCAAAAATATTTTGACAGACAGCAGAGCTGCAGCGCCATCCATTGTAAAAACTGTATATTTGTTGAGCACGAAAAGTTGACCTTAGTTCTGGATTAATTCTTTCTAATTCTTACCTCAAACGTGAAAAAGATTTATAAAAATTCCTTCCTCCTCTATGAAGTTCGCTTATATTTGACATTTGCACGAAGTGCGTTGGACCAATTTATCTTGCAAGCCAAAATTGCAGCATAAATAGACGACATTTTATATGATCTCAATTTTGAGGCCAGAAGGGGCTGAAGGGCTATTAACAACAATTACAAGGAATGTTTTGTTGTTGAAACAGTGAAAGAATATTTTAGAACATGTTAGTAATATTTTGATATGACAGTTAAAAAAACATGGAAAAATAAATCGAGAAACAGCGCACTTTTTCTGCGCAGTAAATATATACCTGTCAGTTTTTTTTAATGGGTGCCACTGTAGCTCTCCTGTCTATCAAAATATTTTTTCGAAGAGCTACAGTTCTGCAGCTAATTTAAAAGTAGCCCCATGATCTTCGCAATTCAGATGCAATTGAAATTATTTTTAATGCTTCATGTTGTATCTCTAACAAATTAGTTCTGGCTGACTTAAGTCTGAAAGCATGAAAATGTTCCTCTACTTCCTGTGAGATCTTTCAGATTACAATGTTCAACTCCCATGAGTACTTTCAGTACTTTGATTAACAAAACATTCAATATGCGTTTTTGTTTACTGAAAATTTCAGTTTTATAGATGTGCCAACTGATGTTTTTCATCAGCCTTCCAGATATTAAGACCTGGTTTTCTATAATCCTAAAAATTGCTCCTCGTAATACTTATCAAGTTCAGGTAGATGATAGACAGATAGGCAAGAGTTCTGCTTTTTTCTGACCACGTAAATTGATGAAATCTTACTATATTTTATTAAAGGTATTCAATAACAGTTTTCACGATTTAAAAAAAAAACTTAAAACAATACAAAATAGGAGCAGAGTATTGTAAACCAACTTTTATTCGCGTGCGAGAAATTTTTGCGAAATTCGCGAGAGCCTCATCATCGCGAATATTTCTCGCCGCGAACTGGTTCTTAAAGTCTATGTGTCTATTCACAAGAGAACCTAAATAGGCTTGGTTGCCAAAATTAATCGTCGCGAACTAGTTTACCCCTGGTAAATCGCAAAATAAAGTCGTCGCGAATAAAAGTTGGTTTACAGTAAACACGGACTTCCAAATCAAAAGAAGTGAGATCAGGGTTATGGAGGAGTGAGCATTCTCTGCTGACTGGTCACACCCGCCATATGTGCTCCTTCTCATGATCGGGAAATAACGGAAAAATCCAGTGTATAAATAATGGACTAACAATAAGTATGAAAAACCTCAGTTACAATTTGACTCAATAATAAATTACATTTGCTGACAAGGTAATTGTATCGACCATAGAACTTACGAAATAATTACTTTCAACGAGACTACTGATATTCTTGTTTCATCAACTTATTTGTCTATAATTTCCATCGTTTTAGAAATTGTTCATTCGTAGAGCATCTATTGCGTATCGAATCAACTGAGATATATAAACTCCGTTTGCAGGTGATGAAGGAACATGTACATGTATATTGCTGCATTAGTAAGGGAAGTTAACGTTTAAAAAGTTAAAGTCATCATGTTTATCATAGAGCTTAGTTTGTTATAAGGCACTTTGAAAAAATTTCCAAAGTACGTTAAATTTGGGACCAAATCAACGCACTTTGAAAAAAATAAGCTTTTTTTTCAAAGTGCGTTAATATCGACCATATTAACGCACTTTGAAAAATTGTGTATGGATTGGTCAATATTCTTGCAAATTTTAAGAGGAAGAACAAAATGACAAAAAAATAGCGATATCACATAGGCTGATTTTTACCATTTAGCTTTTCCTAATAAAATTCACCTGGCTTGGTATATTTTACTTAAGTTTATATTACACTTTTAGCACTATGGTAACATATTCTGAAATTTGTTTTCACCTGTAAACCTTTACTGAATGTGATTTGTCTATATTTGTTTTTTCATTGAAATATTACTAATTATTTCCAAGTCTTTTTTTCATATTCCAGTTCTTAAGAGAAAAATATCTAAGAACCATCCACTTTTCTAAACTTGTGACATGATGATATAAAATCTTTTTCAAAGAAAAAAATTTGCTTGTATCATCTGTCCTTAAGGCCTTAATATGAACACTACATGTATATATGGCACAAAGAAAATGAATGTAACGCAATTTGCTTTTTAAAAATAAATTTTCATATTACTTTGTTTTTACGCTAAAAGGTTTTGTTTATAAAAAATATTTACTTACAGCTGACGACAGTTTCTTATTCATTGTTACTGGTATTTCTGGAGTAGCATTTCTAATCATCACTGTAATTGTGGTTGGAATTCTTTGTTTGCGAGCAAACAAGAAGAGTACGTATTTGATGTTTGGGGAAAGGGAATTATTCTCTCCATTAATGAATATTTCCAAATGTCAATTATGATAATAATAAGATTAAATTGAAATAATTAAATTTAATTAGAGAGAAATCTTTTTTTTCTCCCAATTCAAACTCTTTTAATGAAAAAAATGTAAAAATAACATTAACATTTACCTGTTTTTTTTCGGTTGGAGAATGTACATTTGTATTTGGTATTAAAATTCTATACCTAATTGAAAAAATTAAAACGTTAGATAAGTATAATAATAGTACAGAGAAAAATAGGGATCAAAATTCCTTGGAAATACATAATGATTTAATGATTATATAAGAATATGATATAATTTCAATGAATTTTATGAAGCAAATGCTTTAGAAGAACTTATTCTTTTTATAGGTAAAACTTCTACGTAAGTACTATAATATTACTTTGTCCATGATATTCAAATATTTGCAAACTTGGGGAAATTAATTGTAACTACTGCTTTTTAACATTTATTTCTGCCGGTTTTAAAAATCATTCCTGAGATCTTGCAGAATATTTTTGCTTTTCAGAAAAAATGATACTACCCAAAAGAAAGGTATTTGTCTCTTATCATATTACATATTATGATTACTCGATTACATTTGAATTCAACAAATACAAAATATGAAATCTTCTCTTTGCAGGAAATGAACGATGTTTGGTGGTTCTTTATATATATACATATATATATATATATATATATATATATATATATATATATATATATATATATATATATATATATATATATATATATATATATATATATATATATATATATATATAATCTTAAAACTTTCGCATATGATCATGACCAATCAGAATTTTTAAAATCCTTCTTATAATGAGAAATTATTTTATTAACAAGCTTTAAGAAAAGATTCTCATTTTGTTCTTATCACGATGAATAAATAAATAAATGAAACATGACAGTAGAGTCCCCCAACCATTCAAAGTTTATAGCTAGACAGACATACAGTTTAAATACTATTTTCCCTGATTCGGTGATTACAGGACATAAGTATAAACATCCATAAATAGTCATTTCTAGCACACCTTTTTTTTTTTTTTTTTTTTTTTTTAAAAAAACCTTTTCCTGTATTTCAATTTAATAGTTTATTAAACAATTTTTATTTCTTGTATGTAACTTATTTTCAAAGATCCTGCGTTAGAATTGACGGAGAATGTTCTCGATATTACTGCCGACGACGTACCTGAAATGCCACCTTCGGCCCCTTCAGATAACGATACCACTGCATCAGACGTTTACGCCGTCGTTAACAAGGAAAACAAAAATGTGAATCAAATTCCTACCTACGCTGAAGTCCGTACCTCACAAAAAGGAAAGGGTGAGTATCGAAAGAACACAGTATATGTTTAACAGCTACAATTTTTAAATCCCTTTTTAAAAACACTAAAATACAGTGAAAAGGCTGTGATAAATTGTTATATAAGCCAAATTATAATGAATAACAATGAGCATAATATGAGTTCCTTCTCTGACGGTATTATCTTCGGTTTTGATCCGAATTTTATGTGAAGGTGGTAAATATAAAATATATAATTTAAAAATGAATGATCAGACTGATACTTTATTAAAGATACGTTCAAATTAAAAATTCAATCATTTTTATTTTCACAGACAACCAAAAAACGGAAAAGAAATCTGATGAGAAGGGAGAAAATAATCCTGGACAAGTAAGCATTAATTGAATGCTCTCCAGAAAATAAATAATTCCAAAGTACACATTGGACACAACACATTTGTATACTATTGTTAATCCTAGCTAATCCCTTTTTTCAGGTTTTAATGAACTTAAACATATATCCGTAAACTATTTAAGGAATGTTTTTAAGTTTTGTGTGAGTTCATGGTGCGTGGATCACACAGACTTGTCATGCTAGCGCTTCATGAAAAATATGCCTATGTGCAAGTCCTGTGTGATTTACACACTAAACTTTAAAACATTCCTTATATTTACATTTTACATGTCTGAAAGCACCAAAAACATACGTTAATGCCATCTGGGGTTACAAAAGAGGTATATTACTAGATAAGGGGGAATTATTAGACCAGGAATAATTGTGATTAGAATAATTTTATTGTAACTATAATATTTTGTAGCTATTAAGGCTATTGTTAATAACCTGTATTTGATATGGATTCTTCCGTTTGGTCAAACCGAACAGAGGATGATTACTTCTCCTTACCATATGATCCCAGCTACTGAAATTTCCAGTGGTCCGAATTTTTTGAATTCCGTGCTTCAAATTTATTACTTGTTCAAACATCTGTAACGTTTATTACATATTTGATAATATATAAATTATTTCCATTTACGTCAGAGACGAAATTTGTGTTTCAGAGCGCAAACAAAGATGGAATGGTTTACATTGAAATTGATTTTAACGACAAGCCCTCCAATGGAAATGCCGTCTTGCATGGAGCCGAAGACAAGATATTGTATGTCGACATAGACTCAGTCAAACATGCTGATCCACTTCCAAAGAATGAAGGGGAAGGAAATCATGACTCCCAGCAAAATGGGGAGAAATAACAGGCAAAATAAAATGACAGTCGAAAAATACAACCCTCTGGAAATTTCAGTTTCCATGACGCTTGTTATGAACTGTAACAATCATTCCAATAACCGCGTGGCAATTTGCTTGATCCACATTAGTAAAATTTCATATATTGAATACCTAATTACCCATTGATGGGATGTCTTACTTACAGTAAAAATAAAGAGGTGAAAGTTAATGCAATAAGTTTATTTGCTATCGCCATTTTACTGGAAATTTTTTAAAACATTTTTAAATATAAAACCGTCAATCCTCCATAAAAAATCAAGAGATCCAAAGGGGTTCTCATATCTCATATCTTGTTTTCTAAAACGTGAAAGACGTGTTTACTAATAATGTGGTCTCCTTGTTTCGTTTATGAGTAGTTTTAAAGGATTCAAATACTGTACACAGGGAAATATTCGCCCCCGTTTTATTTTAGCCCTAATCTTGGTGGGGCGAATTTAAAAAGGGGCGAATTCAAAGAATACAATATTATTTCTTAAACAAACCTGTGACTGGGCGAATTTAAAACGGGACAAAATTGTTTGCATGTGTGAAAGGGCGAAAATAAAGCGGGGCGAAAATAATCCTGTATACAGTATAAGTATTAAAAGGAACAATTTATACACTGTTCATTTCTGTAAGTGTCTTGTTTATTTGTTTCTTTTTTTTATTCACACAACATACAACATTAAATAATTATGTATTAATATCCTTTTTTCAAGCAAACGAACAAATTCTTTTTGAAAATGTTGTGCATAAATACATTCCTATAAAATGTGTTTTATTGTCTCCTCTTCAGTACATGTATGTAGAACATAGAGCCATTTTTTAAAATTTCAAATAAGAATGACTTTGTTGTTTAGAATTTGTTTATAATCCTGTAGTAAGACCATTGGCGTTAACAGTCTTTTGTTACCTGTCTGGTGTTACGTAATTTTTTTCCCCATTCCTGAGTACCAACTTCTTAAAACTCACTCCAGTGTGTTTTACCTGTTGAAACAGAAGAACTTTTATACCATAATTTCATAATAGCAATTTTTGCATTTCATTACTGTGTACAGTTATTTGACCAGTTCCGAATAAGAAACCGATTCGGCGGTGCTCTAAATATACGAGGCATTATTTCAAAATCTAAGTTTTTGTCAAGGTAGTTCAATGACTTGTGGAATTAAATATTGTTTCATAAAAGTTCAGCCTCTCCCCGAAAAAAAATTATTTCGCAAGTTAACATAGGCACTCATTTTACCAGTTACGAATAAGTCGACGAGTTCCGAATACCATATCGGTTCCCATTCTATTTAAGGAATGAAGCTTATTTCAACTTACATTATACGATATAACATAACTTGGGGCAGTTTACGCTTTATAAACCGCGAAACTGTTTATAAAAAAGCGTAAACCGTCCCAAGTTTTGTTATATCGTATAATATAAGTTGTAATAAGCTTCATTCCTTATACTTTAATTTCACTATAGACAGTGATACAATTTTCCCCCCTAAGTAAGAGTTCACATTAATTAAATTTTAAATGTTACATCAAGCGGAGTAATATGTTTTTGACGTAACTCATTGTGACGTAGGCAAGTTATGTTATACAAAATGAATAAAAATTTTTTATCTAATCAAATGACGTGTAACAAGTTAAATTAAATTATTCAACTCTAAATTGAAAAATACACATCCCACACATTATCCTTTGACATGCCCAAGAAAAGTTAAATTAATTGCTTATCAATAAGGGCACCCCCCACTTTTTTGCCAACAATACTTTTACTATTGAAAATGTTCATTGAAAGGCTCGTTGGCCCCCCATTTCATACTAAAGTAAAGTAATATGAAGGAAATATACTAACTGTAAGCTTAAAAAATGGATGTTGAAAGGAATTGGTAGTGAAAAAAAAGTTTGCCTCTACCCCCCCCCCCCTCAAATTAGGATTTTCGACTTTGGGCAATTTTCCTTCTTTTTTTTTTTGCTTGTCAACTTTTTCAGGTAGGTAAAAAAAATTTCTGTGGCTGGCCCCCCACTTTCAAAATTGATGCTACGTGCTTGAAGTTATTAGTATTTCCAAAGGATAAAGAGAAACTAGAGGTACTGTGAGCCACTTGAAGCCACACGCCTCTTATATGATTATTATGATGAAGTCCGGGTACTTTCTCTGTGAGACCCGAAATAAATGTCAGATCAAAAAAAAGTAAAATGAGAGGTCACAATAACATCATGTAATAAAGAATCTGTGAAAGTATCACTTAATCTTATTCAGTGGTATAGGTGGCAGAGGATAGTTTCGAATAAAGTACCGGTCAAAAAAATAGAAAAAATAGAGAAACCTGAGGTCTGAATGCATATTTTAGATAATTTTATAGCTAGAATATTTTATGGGTGAATTTGGAGGGAATTGGTGGCCTTGTATATTTTATTAAAATATGACACTTTAGTGTCACAACTACTGTATGTGGGATATGGACTAGAAATACGAAACTAAGATCAGAAGTCACTCTTCCGGTATTTCACCAGAAAAGCGGGGTGGGTTCATAGGATGAATTGTAGCTTGAAAACGAGGTGGTTGAGCCATTATCTCTTGCTGTTCAGTGGTATGTACAAATGTTATTCTGCAATTTGTGTGGTAGCTTAGGTCATGAGCACGGGCCTGGAAGCAGTTGCGGCTGCGGCGAAATAGTGAAAATAGGCTTGATTCACATGAAATTTTGAGATTGTCCCTGTGCCATCTTTAAGGCTCATTGTGTAAGTTGTACATGTTTTATTCCTAAAAGCTTCAATTTCCTCTAGGGACTACAACATACTATTATTACATGTAGAGGGAATTTAAAATTTTTCAATTCACATTTTAAAAGCAGCTCAATATTAAGTAAACCGTCAGTCAAACGTTTTGATTGCAAAAAAAACTATTTATGTATTCTTATGCTTATAGGCAAGCTCACCGCAGCTTGTTTTTGCTAATTTTGTAAACTATCCTCTCCCATCTATAGGAGGAATTGTGGATAAGAGATAGATATTATACATGTACCCTTCAATATTAGAAGGAATGGCAGAATCCATGTTTTGCTAACGAAGCCCAAATTATGTGTCGGATCAAAAAACTGAAATAAAAGGTGCACTTTGGCACTATTTAACAAAGATTCTGTGGAAGCCTCATTAAATTTCATTCAGTGGTAGAAGAGGAGTTGCGGATAAGAAACGGGTACCCCAAAGCGTATCAGACGGATGGATGTACAGACAGACAGACGCGCTTACCAACTGGTGGATAAACAAACATCCCATCACTATATTTCCCTTTCCCCCTGCTTGTCAACCGGGGGTAAAATAAGTCATGTTTATTATAAAAAAAAAAAACAACGAAAAATTAATTCATAATAGTGTTTATAATGGGTATTCGGAACTAGTTAAATGACAACATGAAAACATTCCGATATCTTCAGGTGTTCTATACATTTATTTTCAACAAGTTTTTAGTATTTGTTAGAGTACATAACAAACTTACTTTTGATACCTAGAATGTTGTTTTATGTGAACTATTGATGTCTCTACAGAGGTTTTTCTGCCACGTCGCGGCGATTCAGATTTGTTGCATTGTAAAAGTATGTCGACGGTTTCAAGTACGATAAACGAACCGAACTGACAGCAAAAAATCTAAACTTTATATAAGTCAAACACACATAAATAAGCCTTCTTACAATAGGTATCAATTCATTTTTACACCTTTGAATTTATTAATTATCAGCTCTTAAATTAATAATTAATCGGTCAAAATTCGGAACTGGCCAAACGACTGTAGATATTTGACATAACTAATGGATTGCTTAGCTTTTAATTTTTTTTTCCTGACAAATTTTTTTCATACAAGCCTTTATAGCACGAATCATGTTATATTCTAAAAATAATCTTTATATTTGAATTAGTGTTACAAAAAATTCATGTAGATAAAAAACCATCCACACTTTTGATTTCAATAACTTGTTTAATGCCACTGTCGAACATTTGTTTATTGTAAAATGGTTTTCCGCCAATATGAAAATGGTGATTGATAAATATTGGTGAGTCACAAACAACTTCAATCTTTTTTAGGGCTTTGTAATATTTTCCAGAACTCAAAAGTTTTTGTCTAAAATGTACTCTTTTAAATTTTTCATGAGGTTGATACATTTGTATATACATGTATATTCCATTCCACAACTTATAATATTTGTTCAGATTGAATTTCGGAATGATGTTTTTCATCCCATCTTTGTAAAAATGAGATTTCTTATCCAAAATAATTTCATAGAATTAATGGACTTTTACGAGAAGCGCTGACTTTCAGAGTTGACGAATTACTTTTACACTAGAATAGTGTACGGAAGCTCTTTAACGACACAAATATTTATCTCAACAAATAATAAAAAAAAAATAATGGGCTATTTCAAAGCACATATAATTGTCCTTGAAGAAAAAGACAACCATCCTACCCTAAACTCCCGGCCTTCACATGTTAGTGCCCCAACATCATTACTATGACCACTAGCAAGGGATTTTTTTATCTTTTATCAATTCTGTACCTCCGTACATGATGTTTAAATGTCCAAGTAAACAGTCAACTGTCAAAGTCAGTGCTTCTCGTAAAAGTCCAATAAGGACATCCGATTATATTCATATGGGAGGCGGGGGGTATCATTTAGTGAGCTCATTGCTCACAGTACCTCTAGTTTTTTTTGGAAAAAGATATTGCATCACTTGCAGGAAAAAATGGTCTTCTTGAATAAAGTTAACGAAAAATCTGCCTGATCAAGGAATTAGTTGACTGGTCGACAGGGGATGCTAATGGTACCTGGTCACACCTCGGATGTTTTGGAGGTCCGTGTTTGCTCTGCTCCTATATTGTATTGTTTATTGGACTTTTGAACTGGAATATTGTTCGTTATCTCCATATATTTCATTTAAAATGGAATACATTTTCATAAATTAAATTGTTGTATTTTATTTGTGTAGATTAACTTCTGGATGAATAAAATAATCTGAATTGCCAATTGTTATAATTAAATTTCAGTACCAAAATTACTAGTTTTCTTCCATTATTCACATATATAAAACGTTATAACATGTTCACATTTTGGAGGATGCACAAAATTAAATTGATAAATCCCATATTATAGAAACCTCTTTTGAAATTATTGAACCACTTATAAGGTGTGCTTTTTTAGGTCACATGAGTCACAAAGGTGACCTATTGCTATCCGTTTTCTTCCGTCGTCGTGTGTTAACATTTGAACATTTTCAGCTTCTTCTCTGAAAGCACTGAACCAATTTCAACCAAATTTGGTATACAGCATCTATGGGTGAAGGGAAACAAATATTTTGAATCTTATTGTCCCCCCCCCCCGGGGCCTGATGGGTGCGGCCAAATCCACTAAAATTGATGAAATCTTTAAAAATCTTCTTCTTAACTTCTGGACATCAAGCAGTCAAACTGTTGGCATGAATGTAATGAGCATTGAGTCCTCTACCAAAATTGTGAAATTTATGGCCCCAGGGTCAGGGGTTCTAGTGCTAGGGTGTGGCTCTATTGATTATACAGTGAAAATGCATTATTTCTTTGAACTCCTGGGTATTTAATACGCTAACTTAGTACATACATGTAGTTATGATGAGCAAGAGTGCCTCTATCAAAATTGTGAATTTTATGGCCCCAGGGTCAGGGGTTCTGATGTTAGGGCGGGGCTCTGTTGATTACAAGTATATAGTAAAAATGCATTTATTCTTTGAAAATCTTCTCTGCTCCTAGATATTTTAAAATAAGCTAAGTACATAGTTATGATGAACAAGAGTGCTTCTACCAAAATTATGAATTTCTTGGCTCCAGTTTAGGGGTTCTGGTGTTAAGGCGGGGTTCTATAATGATTATATAGTGAAAATACATTACATCTTTGAAAATCTTTTTCTCTGCTCTTGGGTGGTAGGCAGATGAACTACCTAAATAGTTATGATGTGCAAGGGCTCTTCTTTCAGAATTGTGAATTTCAAGGCCCCTGGATCAGGGATACCGAGGAGGATGGGGGGGGGGCTTTACCTAAAGACTGAAAATGAATTGTTTGAAAACTGCTCTTTGGTATTAATCAAACATTTTTGATACACAAGTGTGTCTTTTCAGAAATTGTGCAATGTGTGGGCCTATGGTCAGGGGTTCATGTGTGGTAGG